CGGAGCTCTACTGGCTGAATGGTAAGGAGTTGTGCTGCTAATCCAAAGGTTTGATTCCACCAGCAGTTCTTGGGGAGAAAGATGGGCAATCTCCTTCTATGAGATTGTTGGTATATGCCCTTGAATTGCCTGTGACCCATAGTGACCCTACGTACAGCGGCTCTGAACTTCTGCCCTTTCCTGAGCCAGTCTCACTAATGCCACACACCAACCCCCACTGCCCATCTCATGCAGGGTCTTTCTCTCCGACGCTGTCCTTCCACCCTCCTAAGTATGATGTCCTTTTCCAAGGACTGGTCTCTCTTGGACACATGCCCAAAGTTATGTGAGATGGGGCTTCAAAATCCTAGGCTCCAAGGAGAAATTTGGTTTCACCCTCTCCTACACAGACTTATTGGTTTTCTTGTCTGTCCACAGAATGTTCAAGACCCTTCTTCAGGACACCAATTCAAAGGCATCAGTTTTGATTGTCATCCTTAGTCATTGTCCAGCTGTCTGATGCACAGCAAGTAATTGTGAAGACCATGGCCTAAATTAGGCGCACCTTAGTCTCTAGACTGACATTGCTGCTTTTCAGTACTCTGGAGACGTCCCTGACAGCAGATTTTCCCAATGCAGTTTGTCTTTTGATTTCCTGACTGCTGGTGTTAAGAGTGTTGATTGTGGAGCCAAGCAAGCTATAATTGTTAACAATCTCAATCTCTTCTCCACCTATCATGGTGGTGCTGCTAATTGGCCTAATGGTGAGAATCTCTGTCTTCTTGATGTTAAGCTTCAGTCCATATTGAAGACTACAGTCTTGACTTTCTGCAACAAGTGCTTCAGCTATTCTTCAGTTTCTGCAAGCAAGGTTGTGTCATCTGCATAATAATTTAGGTTGTTAATGAGTCTTCCTCCAATCCTGATTCACATCCCTCCTCATAAAGCCCTGCTTCCCAAATGATCTGTTCTGCATATAGATTGAAAAGGTATGGAGACAGGATGCATCCCTGATGCACTCCTTTCCTGATTTTGAACCACGCAGTGTTTCCCTGCTCTGTTCTAAGGACTGCTTCTTGGTCCAAGTATAGGTTTCACACAAGCACAATCAAGTGTTCCAGGATTCCCATTTTCCTCAAGGTTACCCACAGTTTGTTGTGATCCACACAGTGAGATGCCTTTGCATAATCAATGAAACACAAACAGAAACTCCTCTGGTACTCTTTGCTTTCTGATAAGATTCATCTGACATTGGCAATAATGTCTCTAGTGCCATGAGCTCTTCTGAGCCCAGCTTAGCTTTCCGGTAGTTGTCTGTCAATGTACTGTTCCAGTTGTTTAAGAATGATCATCAATAGGATTTTGTTATTGTGTGTTATTAGTGATATGTTCAATAATTTCCATATGCTGCCAGCTCACCTTTTTTTGGAATGAGAATAAATATGATCTCTTCCAGTCACTTGGCCAAGTAGCTTTCCTCCAGATTTCTTGGCACAACTTGGTGAGCACGTCCAGGACAGCATCTGATTACAACCTCTGAAAAGCTGCTAGAGGAATCAGCTATAGGTTGGTTTTGACTTGACAGCATACAACAACAACAACAACATAAAGTCTTGTTAATAGTTTCTTTTTTTTAAAAAATTATTTTTACTTTATTATGTGTGTTTGTGTACCGTCAAATCAGATCTGATTGGTATCGGAGGAGATTGCCACCCCTTCTCCGGCAGAGCATCTGGTGGATTTGAACCATGTACCTCTGGGATTGCAGTGCAGCTTCTTGCCACTAGGCTGCCAGAGCTCCCTTAATAGTTTCTAAGAAAGGAGGTGATGCTTTAATAAAAATCCATCAAAGAAAGAATTCTCCCAGTTTCATGCAGCTGGACTGTGGCAGTCAGCTCTGATCTAACAGGTCAGAGCTTCACTGGACTCTCAGAAACCCCTCCAAAAGTCACACCTGAGCATAATATGCCTTCCTGTGTCCCCTTGTTCATCTGCTCTGTCGACCAATCCCCTCTCCTCTTCCACGTGGCAGCCTGGGCAGGTGTGTTGTCTCTTCCTTGTCCAACATCAGTTGATAAAAGACCCTACCAGCGTTCAATGTTCTCCACGTGTCTTCCCGGATCTCTCTTCCCTGACTCCCCTTGGTGTACACTGAAACCAACATGCATTATGGGCTCATAAAGACCTGGGTTACAATCTTAGCTTTCCCCTCACTTACTGGAGGGGTTAATTCTAGGAAAGTTACTTGATGAGGAATGACATTAGCTTCCTCTCAGGCTTCTTAGGGAGCATAGACAAAGGTGTGTGCCCATCACCCAGCACCCACAGTGGAGGTACTGGCCCCATCTGTTGTCTTATACACATCTCTACTTCATTCTTGCACAAGATCCTTGGGTCACGTTTCCCAGTGTTCTGTGTCTGTTACTCGCAGCACCGGGTCCACTCATTTCTCCTCATCTCAAAACTTACCCAGCCTCCAACGTTCCTCTGTCATGATGTGCCTCCTGAAAATCCAAAACCCTTGCTCTCTCCGACCCCTGTGGCATGCCTCTCATCTGTTTTGCAGCTGTTTACCCACCTGCACTCCTCCCACCTGAGTTACGCTGACAGCATTCAGCACAGCACTCAGACCCCAGCCTTTGACACATATTTGTTGAATGAACAAACGTGTGAACACAGAACCAGAAAGCAGCTTGGAGTGTGTTCGCTTTAATAAACACACAGCACCACTCTCCAAGGAAAACCCTCAGTCAGAGGAGGACACAGCCAGAAAACCAGAAGGTGAGGTGCACGCTGTGAGTGAGAGAAAGCGTGGGCCCCCCATAAGAGCGGACACACATGTGAGAAAGCAGCAGGGGAGGAAAAGCGAGAGTGGCCGGGCACCCAGGACAGTGGCCTGGCCTGGACCCTGTGCGAACCTGCAGACACGGAGAGCGGCCTGTGCGTCGAATCAGACTTTTGGGATAAAAGAAATCAGATGGAGAGCGATGAAGCTTGGGCTGTCATGAAACACGGAAAAGGTAAGAAGGGACAGAGAAATTGCCTCAGTTCAGAATGCTATTAAAAAAAACAACACCTAATTAGTCACAAGGAATTTGTCAGTAAATGCCAAGTGGCCTCATTTCAATTTATGTGTGTGTGCACATGTATAAGTGTGTTTGTGTGTGCACACGGGAAGGTCTCTTTCTGGTTTATGCTTTAAAGTGCATTAGGGGTCTTCAAGGTGTAGAATCCTGCCCTCAGTTTCAAGCCCTGTGATTCTGTCCATCTAGTTTGGCGTAGACCGTGAGTAACGTGAAGCCACTACAGCTGACCAACAGCCACCCCTCAGAGCCTGCTGCCCCACACGCCCCACCAAGTTCAGCACCAAGAATGTGGATTACTCAAGGGCTGCTGAAAGATCCCTAAAACATTTTCTCTTTGCCATGGAAACGGCACTAACATGACACCCAGGGAGGAAAGGCCTGGGACTCTTGGCTGAAGGTCTGTGATGAGTAGACACACCCTTGAGAGAGCACAGTATTGATCTCCTGAATTAAAACCTGTGCCCTTTCACGTCCTACCAATGACAGCACGTGGCCCCCAGCCCAGTGAGGCCCCTCTTCAGCTCATCCTCTTTTTTTCCTATTGGGCTGCTGACACACAGCACACGACGGGCTGACCTTGACTCCCAAGCAGTTGTGTGTAGGAAACACGGGTTTTGGAAATCTCTGGAAAGCATCAATGTAGAAAACAAATAGCTTCCCTGTGCCAGCATGAGTAAAAGCTGTTTAACCAGCTGTTTCCATCAGCTCATCAACTAGAAAGTTCTAGCAAGATATTATCAAGAGTATTGTTGCTTTTAAGGAAAAAGAAAATCATAATAAAAACACAAATTGCAAATTTAAGAATCCCTGGGGATGGGCCTCCTTTCAATCTGACATCCTTAGCATACCTTTCTTTTGTCCTGCACAAGACTTAATTAGGGATTAAAGAACAACAAAATTATTAAACACCCAAGCCACAACACTGCAGATATCCTGTAAATCAGTAGCTACTTGAGTGGCTTGTGGCAGCATCCTCAAGATATGCTGTGCTCTTTATATTCTTATAAGAAAAGCAGGAAGCCTGGTCTGGTGGCCAGATAGCTCCAAGGCAGAAAAATTAGTCTTACTAAGCAACCACGGCTCCCTGCATCATCTGTCTGTGTCTGTCTGTCTGTCTATCATCTATCTATCTATCTATCTATCTATCTATCTATCTATCTATCTATCTATCTATCTATCTACTTATCTATCTAATCTAGTTGGGGTCCGAGGAGAGTGCTCGTGGCTTACAGCGTAGAAACTGTGCTGTCAGTCCAATGGTCTTGAATCTACCAGCTGTTCTGTGGTAGAAAGATGAGCAATCTCTTTCCACGTTATTATTTACTGCCTCTGAAAACCCAACTGGCGGGTCAGCTGTGTATCAGTTCCAAGTGGACAGCACACAACAACAGCAGCACCAAGGACGGAGGGAAGGACGTGGAGATTGGGTTGAGTGATGACCTGGGCAGTCAGGGATAGATGGAGTGTTAGGGTTGAATCGTGCGCTGAAGTTTGGGTTAGGGTTAGGGTTAGGAGAGATACATTACGAACTAAACAGTGAAAGAGAGAAGTGGCATTGGAGTGGTGCATTTTGGACTGAGTGAGTACTCTGGTAGACCGTCTGACTAGAATGTCATGAGATGTTGACCTTGGGACTTGATGATTCATTGGTATGATTTGACTCTTCCCTTGGATTTGCCTTATATAAGGCCAACTAGAACAGTGAGACAAGTTTTGTGTAAGTCAAACACTGTGATAAAAACTACAACACTAAATATCAAGTATCGGGAACACCTTTTTCCCTGGCCAAATGATCTTGCGACTTGGTCTGGGAATGAGAGGGAAAAAAATCATAAAAATTTCATTTTGCCCACATTCCAAACCCAAGAACAGCAACGATGAGAACACACGACTGCCCAGCGTCCAGGGCATCGCGACTTTAAACGGCTTCCTTACCCGCAGCTTCTCCTCTGACTTGGTGGACTGCTTACAGTCGGGATGCCAAACGGTGGAACCTGGAAGGACACAAAGCATCACAATGTATCAAGGTGATGGAAAGCAGCTGTCATCCTGTCAAACAGAACACGGTCTTCCCAGCAGAGAAGAGCCAGAGAATCGTGTTAAAGTGTGTCAGGAGCTCAACAGAGAAGTCAGCCAAATCCACAATGCTGATTTCTGGGTGAGTTTTGATCATCTGCTCTGAGCTTGTTCTAGAAAAGTCATCATTCTAGACAACAGAAACCACCAGCCGGGTACATACTGTCTTAATTCAAGAGATAATTTTAATAGGGTCCTTAGAAAACAAATAAGATACAGCCCCCCCATTATTAGAGTTTAACACATGCTTTCTACAAATTACATTTCATTTCAGAAATATAAGCTATGCTTAACTTCAAAGCAGCTACGTAATTTAATTGAAGGAAACAGAAGTACATTAGTCTATATGCAGATACAAATTCTTTGCAATGATCACCAATTGAATGACAAAGTTAGCCACTGATATATAGAGAATTGAGCAAGTTAGTAGAAATATTGAAAGTCTGTGAAATGTGGAGTCAATATACAGAAAGCAAGTTGACCTTTGTCCTTGGAACTTTCAGGTAGTACCAACACCTAAGGCTAAGGCCAGGGCTGACACACCAAGAGGGACCAATTAAGCCTCAGAAGGGTCCTGTAATCTCTCCTAGCCACAGGGTGATGGTGGGCTTTTACATCTGAAGGAGCTTCTTGGTTGGTGACCTTGTACAAGACAGGGCTTCACCTCTCAACTTGGGAATGGAAGCACTGTGTGGTGACCCCTCCCAGACCTCACCTCGGTGCAGATCTTTGGTTTGTGTCCTTTATGGCTGTGATACATCTGTAACTCTGCATATGGCCTATCATTACATGCCATTGAGTTGGAGGTGACTCATAGCTGACCCTCCAGCAGGTTTTCTGAGGCTGTAAACCACAGGGGAGTAGACTGTCCGTAGCTGGTGGACATCAGAGCCATCAGAGCTTGGGTATAGTTTATTCTTCATGAACTCGCTTGAATTGTGCTGGAGAATTAGTGAACCAAGAGACAGTGAGAGCTGGCAGGGGCTCTGCACACATGACAGTGGGAAGGAAGGTCCCCTTCTAACGAGCATGTGAGCTCTGACCTAGTTCTCCATGACTTGTTCCTGTTGTCAAACTGATTCCAACTCTGACAGTAACCCCATAAGAGGAGTCTACCAAGTGCTTCACAGACATCACGATTCAAAGATGGTATCCATCTCATTTGTGTGCTCTGACCCAGCTCTGCATGGCGAGGACTGGGGACAGGGCGTGCTGAGGACAGGATTACATTTCTACACTTTGGGGACTAGGTGCATGCTGATCCCTCCCACGCAGTTAACATGAAGGTGGGATGTGTCCACGATGCCCCTGGCTTAATGCAGAACCAAAACTTTTTCTTAAACTTCCTACCTTTTAGCCAACTAAAACAACTTTTTTTTTTTCCAAGCGTTCATCAACAGTCTCACTTTCTCAACAAAAAGCATTTTCACTGACAGTATCAGCATCAAAGAACCAACAAGACCTTGACCTTCAATTGTTGAGGTTAGGTGTCAAAACTAGCTTGGATTCACGGTGACCCTATGTCCAGCCGAAGCCCCAAAGCTCTAGTCTTACAGGAATCCAATGCCCGTCATATACATTAAATGTGACATCTACTCAGGTCAGGCTGATCTGTAAGTCTTGTGTTCAGATGGGATCTCTTCAAATGTGGGAAGAGCCAGAAGGATGTAAAGGTACATTTAAAAATGTATGCAGTTGTACCTGTTAGGTTAGGTTAGGTTAGTGGACTTAAAGAAGAAATCAGAGAGAATGAAAGAAAGCTTAATGCAGCTTTATTAAAGGGGGGTGGAGGTGGAAGGGGAGCTCCCGGGTGAGTTCCTCATCCTGGAGAGGCAGAATGGGAAGTCATACTGTGAACTTACTGGGAAGGATTTTTATAAAGAGTCTTTAGGGAGGTATATTCCATTCTGATTTACGGGCCACCTGCTAGCTTAGCCAGGCAGGCAAGGTCTTTTGCTTTCTTATCTGAAGCAGGCAAGGCCATCAACATTTGAGTTCTGAATTCTTCATTCTTCTCTTCGGCCCTCTTTGCCCAGACTAACAGTACCCTTCCCCCAACTGTCGTCAAATCAATTCTGATCCGAAGTGACCCTGTAGGACAGAATAGAAGTTCCCTCTAGGGCTTCATAGGCTGCAAATCTTCACGGGAACGTACTGCCACATCTTCCTCCTACGAAGCTGATGGGTTCGAACTGTGATTGGCAGCTGAAGGCTTTTACGACTGTGGCCAGGGTTCCTGCTCGGGTGAAAGCAGTGAGCAAAGGCTAGAAATTTCATAAAAGCCTCAGTATGGATACTATTAGGTTTTCCTACATTTCATTTTTTAAATCCTGACCTCTCAAATCAGCAGCTTGTGTGTACTTGTCTAGCTGCCAGATTAAAAGAATGTCAATTATTTTGCACCATGGAGATAAAAGACTGTCAACTTAATGATGAGGAAAAAAAAGAGATGTTGCAATCAGAATAATAATTTAATCTCTATTTAGCAATAGTTTTTCTCTATCTTCACCTAGGGCCAAAATGACAAATAAAATAAAAATCAAGTAAACACACAAAACTCAGACATGTAGCACAAACACTGCCTCAGTGGCTGAGGACAAACCACAGGAAGTGAGTCCTCTGAAATGTAGAGTGGCTGGGGTCAGAGCCAGGCATCAGAGGTTAGGGCCAGAGCTCAAGGCCAAGGCCAGGCTCAGGAGAGGTTTTTGCTGTGACAGTTCTCCTATTGAGGGGGGCTCATGGCCACAACCCGAGCTCTGTTGATACACCAGGCCAACAGTGTCCTTTGGGGGCCAGGCACATCAAGGGTGTGACTGACACAGGATTGAGAAGAAGAAACTGCTCTTTCTTAGGGATGTGTGAGGGGGCAGCGAAGGGTGGCAAGGTCCAATTCTTAAAAAAAATAACCACCCAAATTTCTGTACTGGACTTCACTTAACAGTGACTTATTTATTTATCCATTGCGTGAAATGTGCTGTATTTCTGCTTTGCTTTCAATGTCCAGAGCAATTCTGAGCGTTCAGCAGGCCCCCTACCCCGGCCCGTTCAAGGCTCAGGCTATCATGTGCTCTGTGTGCCTTTTTCTTTCAATTCCTTAAGAAAACCTCCGGTGGCCTAGCAGCAAGAAGCTGCGCTGCAGTCTCACAGGCCGAGGCCACCAGCTGCTCTGCGGAAGAAGGATGGGCAATCTCCTCCCATGCGATTAACTGCCTCTGAAAACCCACTAGAGAGAGGGTCAGCTGTGGTTCGATTCCAGCTCTATGGTACACAACAACATTTTGCATAAAATCCATCATTTAACTATTCCTGAGAGACTGTGCTGCAGTCCCAAAGGCACGTGGTTCAAATCCACCAGCTGCTTTTCAGGAGAATGAGCAATCTCCTCCAGTTTTGTTTTGTTTTGATTTTTTTTTTAACTGCCTCTGAAAACCCGCTGGAGAGTCAGCTAGGTGTTGGCTTTGACTTGATGGCACACAACACAAGGACACTATTCAAAGTCATCAATTCCATTCAATAATGTTATATATAACTTATAATTTCCAAACTTATTCATCACCTCAAAAAGAAATCCTGTACCAACTGACCCATACTGCAGGGGGCTCTGGTGGCGTAGTCGGCAGTGAGCCACACAGCTAACTCAAAGGCTATGTGTATCCAGCGGTTCAAATCCACCAGCGGCTCCAGGGGACAGCAACTCAGCCTTGAGACCCAATGGAAGCTGCTCTGACTCAGAATCAACTTGATGAGAGGGCATTTCTTAGTTCCTTTTCCTCTCTCCCTTGAGCACCTGGTAACCACTGATCTACCTTCAGGCTCTGCACTGCCTGTTTTAGCCCTTTCATAAAAAAAGGATCAAATCACACTACACCTTTATCATCTGTTCTATTTCAATCAGCATAATGCCTTCAAGGTTCACCCCTCTCGTCTCATGGCTTAAGCCTTCATTTCTTTGTCCACTGTCTGCACAGAACACATTTGCTGTCTAGTCACCTGCTGAGGGACACTTAGTGGGTTTCTGCTTCTGGGTTTTTGTGAGTGATGAAACCACTCAAGTAGGTGAGCTCTGGTGGCCTAGGGGCAAGAAGCTGCACTGCAATCACAGAGGTGTGCGGTTCAAATCCAGCAGATGCTCTGCTGAAGAAGGAGGAACAATCGTCTCCTGTACCAGTCAGATCCAATTTGATGGTACACACACACAAAATAACAATAATACTAAAAAAATTAAAAAAAAAAAAATCCCAACCACCACCACTCCAGTACCTATGAGTCCCTGTTTCCTCTCAGTTCTTTGGGGTCTACACTGGGAGTGGAATGCCATTGGTCTTTAGTGCTATTATTGGTACAGGAATATCTAAAACAAAACTAGGAGATAAGTGAACGAGAGGCAGGAACAACCCCCCCGAGTCTGTCTACTGTCACCACAGGTACCAAGCCCGTCTTTGGGGGCCTGAATCAGACAATGCCCTTAGACCATCAGATCCAAGTACTAGTACCTGCTGAATGCCTCCATTAGGCCCTTTCCCATTCAATGATGTCTTCCACCACAATTTTTTGGATTGACCATTTAAAAAACTAAAGCAAAAAAAGGTCTTTGGGTTGCCAACTTTTTATAACAGCCCAAGAGTGTTTCTGAGGCTTGAAACCTTGAGCACACTGCCTCATCCTTCGCCTGTGGAGAGTGGCTGATGGGGTCTGCCTGTTGACCTCTTGTGAGCATCCCAATGCTTATAACACTGCACCACCATATGGCTAGAATTTTTTTTTTGGCTGGGGAGGAGTGAGGAGAATAGAGAGTAGCCAAGACTCTGCTTTAATACTTGAGAATGATTTCTGCTGGCTTTTCTCAGTTGCATTTAGATGCAAATTGAGAATAAAGCCAAGCCAAGCATTCATTAAAAACACACCCAATGTTACCCACAAGGAGAAATGAAGAAATGACAGGCAAAGCTAGCTCTGACCCAGTAATTACCAGCGCTGAAGGCAGGAGGCTTCACACAGCTCTTGATAATTTCCCTGATAAGCCCTTGTCTAACGAATGACTCCTTTTCCAGCTAAAAATAGTAAAATGCTTGCACAGATGGTACTGTTCAACTGGAGACAGCCTTCCTCTCTCCAAGACTCACTGGCATTAAGAGGAGGGGGCCGTGGATCATAGTTTTACAAGAGAAAGGCATCTCAAAATAATTTTCCTTGTGAAGAGAAGCCCAGTGGCCCCTTGGTGCTATGTGCACGCCCGTGCCACACTGAGTACCCTGCATGTTCTCTCATTTTCTTTCATTATTATCCACACACGCAGGATGAAATGAGACTGTGATGGAACTCCATATGGGAGATTTTCTTCTTCCTGAAAGGCCCAATATGAGCAGGCAAGGAGGCTTCAGAAACTCCTCAGTAACCCACAGACCAGGGAAAGGAGAAACGACAAAGGGGCTTCAGACATGCAGAATCTCTACAGAAGCTAGCAGTCTTTTATTTCTGTCTCCCCAAGCACATTGCAAAGGTCCTGTTCATTTTTATTCCTTTTTTGAGTCTCTAGAGGGGGCAGTTAACAGTTAAAGTGCTTGGCTGCTAACTGGAAGGTTGGAGGTTCAAGTCCACTCACAGACACCTCAGAAGAAAGGCTGAGGGATCTACTTCTGAAAAATTGAGGATGGAGAACCTGTGGAGAACATCCTAATCTGACACACGTGGGGTCACCAGAGTTACAACCCACTGGACTTTTTTTTTTAAACAACCATAGAATCCAATGTCAAGTCCTATTCACCCAGTGCAGGCATCAACATGACTTCATTCCTTAACGGCCTCCAGGCTTACTGCCAACATGTCAGCTGCACTCTGATTAATACTAACTGATGAGGTAGCTTTTGGCCACATTCATTTTGAGGTTGGGTAGAGCTGGAAACTAATGAAATGCCTCTTTCTCTAAAACCAATCAGACCAACACCACCTAGGAGAGCTAAGCCGAGTGTGCTCCGGGGCGCATCTCACCTTGAAGATACATTTCCTCTCCTTCTGTGAACATCTGGTTGCATCTGCTGCATCGTGCACAGCTGGGGTGGTAATGCTTGTCACCTGCCTGCAAGACAAAAGGTGGACAATGGTCAGATGACTCCTGCATGGCTCCTGGCTTCTTCCCAGGCCACGGGCACTTGGGAGCATGAGGAAAGATACCGAGGGGGGAAACAATTTGCCCAACTGACCCAACATCTTAGAAGTTAGTCCACTAAAGCTCTAGCGGCTACTCCGCCTGGCATACCCGACGGGGAGCCCAGTGTGTGTTCCTCAGGCTGACCACTACAGGGCACCCCGCCCCTTGGAGGCTCTGCCTCCCATTTCCCCCTGGAGACCTGGCTTTCCTTGAGTGGCTCTCAACCACACACCACACGCCTGAGACAGATCCGCTCCTTCTCCCCCAAAAACCCACCTCAAAAGCCATTATGATCTGAATTTCTCTTGGAGGTTAACGCTCAGTGGTGCTCAACCAATAAAAAGAAATTATCCCTGTCATTACCAGAATTGCCGGGATTATTTCTTGGCTAAATAATATGAAAATAATAACATCTATCCAGTTTGCAGTGGAAAGAGAAAAACCATAATGGATGAGACGTATCACTCTTATCTCAGAAGAAGCCCCGATCCTGTCTATGAGGTTTACAAGGCCCTCTGGCCTCGGTCTTCTTTTAGGAATTGCCTGCAGTAGGGATTTTAACTAAGAGCGTGCTGCATTATTTACAGGCTTTTCACATTCCTAAATAGGCCAGATGGCCCTCACTGCAGGTGCTGCCTTCCCCAAGGGACAATGGCACTGGTCTCAGGGACAGCTCCTAGACAGGTGCCCCGTCACATGAGAGCTATGAGCCACAGACATGCTTGACAGAAATGAAATCCTCTCATTCACAACTTAGCAAAAAATCCCCACCCCCTCTTCCCCTTGAAATGCTCAAATGTAGCGTGAGGGGAAATCACTTTGTCAATCAACCGTGGAAGCTTTTCTTTTACACTAAGCATGTGTGTGGTGCTGCCGAGGGGCCAGCGTTAGAGCTGCAGTGGCCTGTGTCGGACTCCGCACAGCAGAAACGGCAGCAGGAAGTCAGGGGTGGGTGAGTGATTTCTCTCTCACACTCTCCGGCAGAAACGACAAAAACCCCTGGGCAGTTAGTTATAGAGAGTGTGACGGGGGCCAACTGGAGACAATCCAGTGGGGGTGGGGGAACCCCAATACAAAACACATAATTAGAACCGGTGGAAAATTAGCAGCCAGGCATGAAACCCTTTCAACAGTGTCTGCAAGAGAATTCCAGAATTCTCTTCTCCATACACTACACTGCGGGGCATTCGAGGGTTAAGAAATGCCAGCAAAGGTAGTTCCCGCCCTTGGCTCATCCGGGTCAAATGTGAACTCAAGGAGGAAAAGAACGGGTCTAGACAGCTGCTTCAATGGGACTCCTGGTGACCCCATGTGTGTGTACCGGTTGACTAAGCTGGCTTCGGGGAAGGCCAGGCATTATCCCTGTCACACACGTGCTTAAGGCAGAGCTCAGTGAGGATGGAGCAGGACAGTCCAAGGCTAAGATCTGTTGCTCATGGGTCACTAGGAGTCATGGTGGACTTGATGGCGCCCAGCAACAACACAGGTGGAAGACTCAATGCCCGGGAGTCCATAGTTAATGCACAAGTTCGCTGTTAAACCAAAGGGCAACAATTTAAGTCCAACAAAGATGTTTTGGAAGAAAGTCTTGGTGGCTTACTTCTAAAGCTGGAAGCACAACATGTAACATACACTGTCATCAACGTTCCTTACGTATGGAAGAAGCAAGAGAATTCAGTTCTCCAGGTGCAAGGAGGGCTTGGCTACAGAAATCACCAGCAAAACACTGTATGGGAACAATGCTATCACCACGTCAGAGGATGTCAATCTTGACCGATGTGCTTGCTTCAGCTGAACATGTCAAGAAAGGTGATGAATATATACTTATGTTTATTGCTGCATTATTCACAATAGCAAAAAAGATGGAAGCAACTCAAGTGCTCACCAACAAATGAATGGATAGAAAAACTATGTTCTATTCACATAATGGAATACTATGCAGCACTGAAAAACAAGGAATTCATAAAATATTATGCAACATAGGTGATCCTGGAGGACATTATGCTGAGAGAACTATCTCAGTCATAAAAGGACAAATACTATATAACACTACTGTTATAAAGCAGGACTGACTTGGGGGTTGGGGGAAATGGAGAAAAGAGGGGATAAATAATGATAAATAAATCTGCATTGGAACAGATGAAGGAAAGAACTGTTTACAAGGTATATATGTTTAGGCATTATCTGTATGACAACAGTCCAGAATAAAAGGTGCATAGCAAAGTGGCCTGGGGGAAGGAGGAAATTATGCAACAATGAATGAATATTACTTTTTTAAAGCAAACAAGGGGGAGTTAGGGTGGAAAATGTGCAACAATGAATAAATGAAAATCCAACTTTTCTGTAAGTTTTTGCTCAAATAACAATTTACAAAAATTTCAATTAAAACAGAAAAGCAATGATGGAGAGAGAGAGAGCAGCTTACAGCCCTTGGCTGGGTTCTGTGTCTGCAGCAGTGTGCGCGGGCCCGGTGTGCCCGGGGTTAGGAAGCCATCTCTAAGTCTGTCCTGGTGCTGAGCCTGCCTCTGCTGGATCCGGAGGTTAAACTCCAGCCACGTCCACTGCTGCCACGTCCATTCTGACTCCCATCAGGGCAGTGGGCAAGTAAGTGGTGTTGTTGCCTGTTTAGACGTGTCTCGAATTTCCTCCCAAGAGAAAACACTGTTGTCAGTAAAGAGCCTGCTCCTTTGCATGTGGCAGCTGCCCTGTCTGTTTCATTTCTCTTTGTTCAGGCACCCGTGACGGTTCACAGACAAACCCAGTGCCCAGGGCCCCAAAAGAAGGGGCAGGGTGGGACTTGGCCACGGGGTCAAATGCAAACTAACACAAAGCAGAAGTCACTGGATCAGAAGCCATTCAAACTGGGGTCAATTTTAGGAGTCCTGGTGGCTCAGTGGTTTATGCACAGGGCTGTTAACCACTAGGTCATCAGTGTAAACCCACCAGCAGGTCTACAAGAAAAAGATGAGCACTCTCTTCCAGGAAATATTTACAGCCTCAGAATCCCGATGGAGTCAGGACCAACTGAATAGCGGCGGGCTTAGAAGAAAGGGAAAGTATTTAAAACCCCAGCAGACGGAAAGATTCAGGGACATCCACAGGAGAAACAGATAATGACTAGCAATTCCCTGGGGTAGCACAAGTTATTGATGATGAACTTTCAAATCTCAGTCTGGGGTTTGACGGTGGCAGGTGCTGTCACAGGTGAAGGAGTACCTCGCCCCAGGCACACAGCTGGCAGCACCAGCGAAGCCGGAGCCAAGAGGTGAGAAGCTCCCTGAGGCTCTCAGAGTGACCACCACTGTTCTCCACCCATCTTCCTACCCTGCTGTGTTCAGGACCTACCACTTCATTTTCTGCACTTTCTCCTACTCAGACCGTGCACGCCCAAAGTCTGTATTCTGGCTTACAAACCCTCCATGAACAGGAAACTGTGTGCCTGTATAGCTGAGTTTACAAAGAACCTGCTTGCACATTTGGAGGTACTAAAAATGGCTTGCCTTGGACAGTGCTGATTAAGTCATTCTCCTTGCTGTGCATCAGAGAGCTGGACAATGACTAGGAAGAACAGAAGAATTGATGCCTTTGA